GGTCACAAGCTGGCGGAGGGAAGGTTTAAGTTGGACATCAGGAGGTGCTACTTCACGGTCAGGGCGGCTAGGGTCTGGAACCAGCTTCCAAGTGAGGTGGTGCAGGCTCCCACCCTGGGGGTTTTTAAGAGGAGGTTGGATGACCACCTTACTGGGGTCGTTTGACCCCAGTGCTCTTCCTGCCATGGCAGGGTGTCAGACTAGATGATCTGCTCAGGTCCCTTCCGACCCTAGAAACTATGAAACTATGAATTAAAAGCTGGTCAAGGTCTGTCCCAGGCTTGTGGTTGGTCCAATGATATCACCCACAGAAAGTCTTGTCTTTCCAATAGCTAATGCAATTATTGACTAACTCCTTGGGAGGAATCCATTGAGTTTGATGAATCCTATTGATTGCTCCTGTTTGAAATACCTCCTTCGCATAAGGTTTTTCATCTTTAGAGGATCTTGAGTTTTCATTTTGTTTTTCCTTGAAAATCCTCCAATATGGTTCATGACTTTGAGATCTTTAAAGATTTAGTTGTAGTTGTAAAGCAAAACCATAAAATTTGTGAGCCAGTGACCTTTATAATCCTATAGTGCAGCCAGGGTATTTGTGCATGATGCTTATTACTTAAAAGCAGTTGCAAAATGAGTCTTCTGAAATGTAATATCAATAATGGTGATATTTTCGATGACACTGGTGGAAAATGGTCTTCTGATTTTATCCACAGTAGCTTTCTTTCATGGGGCTGTCAGAGGTGTGTTCAGATTATGGTTAATGTCATTAGTGTTAGGAGGTTTAAAGTGTGTCGAGAGTGGAAAATGTTAGTAAATCTTGTTTTACAGCTTAAACAGACACTGCCAAGACAAAAATGTGTTTAAAAAGATTCTCTTCTTGTGGCCAGTAGTAACACTTTGGTTTATTGAGACAGACATGACTGTAAAAATCCATCTATATTTCACCTTTCGTACTATTTCTTTACTTTGTGTGTCACCTTCAAAGTGGGTCATGAAAGGAGGCGGCACTTCTTGTTAGTCTTGGCTGTATGCTTTTGCAGGCACTGTAACGTGGTCCTCTTTGGGATCACAGCTCCACAGGGCAAAAAGGATCCAGGGCTGACTTGATTGCAGTGGCTCGGTACCATCCAAGCAAGGGCTTTTCACCTTAGTGGAGAGAATCATAACAGGAGCCAGTGGCTGGAAGCAAAATCTAGACTATTTCAATTTGAAATGAGGTATAAACATGAAGGGGGATAATTTAACTGGAATAAACTACCAAGCCAAGTGGTAGATTCTTCATCTGCTCATGCCTTTAAATCAACACAGGCTGCCTTTCTGGAAGAGGTACTTTAGCTAAGCACTGCAATTGGGCTTACTGTACAAGCGCCCAGTTGAAATTTGCCTGTGATGTGCTGGAGGTCGGATTAAGTAACCTCATGATCCCGAAAGCCTTGAACTCTGTATCTATGGAGAGTAAAGGGGGCAGGATTTACGTTTTTTAGAAGTAAGCAAAGTCAGAAAATTTTTTTTTTTAAAGAAATATCCTTTTTTTTTTTAAAAAGAGAGCGTTTTTAAAAATGTTCCTAGCATCATTTCTTTTGGTGTTAGCGTTCATAAAATCCAATTTTAAACCCTGACTCCCTCCATTTGTATCTAATGGACACTGGGGAGTGTCTAATGGACACTCCCCATTGTATACACCTGTCATAGTCTTTCTGGGCTCATGAACAACCCAGTCATTTAAAAGCACCTGGGAAGCCCGGTGGCTATCCTGGGAAGTGTTGTGGCTTTGCTGTTGGCACTTGAATGGGTGCCCCCTTTGCAGGTGACCTGGAAAAACAAGTCCAGATGGCATTTAGTTTTTTGCCTAAATTACCTTTGAGTCCCCAAAGCATAAAGATCACCGTAAGTTGTGCCCTCTTTGAAGCCCCGATCACTTCCCCACCACTTCCGTGTTTCCAGGAAGGGACTCTGGCTATTAAAATGGAGAAGTAAGAGAAGAGCGTCCTGGTGGCAGGTCAGCCATTGTAGCTCCTCCTGCCATTTTTCCTGTTCTACCCCCTCCTCCTCTCCCTGTCCCAAGTCTGATTAGTGCTTACGATGGCCTGTTGCCTCTGTTTAATAAATTATGTGGTTAATTGCCTTGCAGAGTTCACATCTCCAGTGACCAGTGGAAGTACTGAAACAGTCTTCTTTCAGCTGTTTAGTGCTCTTCATATAAACTCTTGTAGCAAATGTTTTATTGGCAGTGAATTTAGGGTCAACCTCTTGCCTCACAGACCTCATTCCTCAATATCTCCCTAAGAATTCAGTGCCTGATCCGAACCCCAGTGAAAGCAACTAAAAGATGCCTCTCAATTTGGTGGGGTTTGGATTTAAGGCTAAAAGGGGCCGTTGGCCTATCTAGTCTGACATCCTGTATAACAGAGCACCACGTTTCGTCTAGTCCAATGGTTTTATTCATGCTAAAGTATTCCAGGATGTTCAGCCTTGTGCAACAAGCAGGGAACAGGGAGGCGACCCTTCCAGTGGATCCAGTCCCTATGTGCCCTTTCCTCCCAATACCTGGTGCTCTAAACCTCAGTTACTGCCACCTCTCCAGTGCACCTGGTCTTTCCCCCATCCAGTCTATCCCAAGTAAGATCATCAGACCGATGTCTGCCCTTCTGGTACATCGGGACCACTCCCATATTGCCAGTGAGTGGTGCATCTCCGTAATGGGTGAGCATTATGGCACCACAGCAGCCAAATGTCCTGCCTGCATCATTACATGCCATCTCACTAGGAGGTAGTGAAGCACTGGAACTGCAGTTGTGGACTCTCCATCCTTGGAGGTTTTTAAGGCCTGCCTAGACAAAGCCTTGGGTCGGATGATCTAGTTGGTGGTGATCTAGTTGGACTAGATGACCTCCCGAGGTCACTTTTAACCAATATTTTCTATGATTTTTGCCGTGTTCTCTTCTAGGTACCGAGGGAAAACCTACCGGGCAACGGTCAAGATCGTGAGGACGTCTGATCAAGTGGCAGATTTCTGTCGAAGGGTCTGTGCCAAGCTGGAGTGTTGTCCCAACCTGTTCAGCCCTGTGCTTGTAGCTGAAATCTGCCCTGAGAACTGTTCTATTCACACCAAAACCAAATACAGTGAGTAATAGCTTATGTGCTGCTCTGTCACAACTAGGAGCTGGAGCATTGCAGGGATGATCGTGGGCCAGGCAAAAAAACATGCTTAGCATCACTCACTAGTACTGGAGTGATGTTGTAGCCAGGATGGTCCAGGACATGTGAGATTTTTGGGAAAGGGCAATATCTTTTATTGAACCACTATCTAGTTGGGACTTAGACAAGCTGTTGGGCCTGAGGCCCCCTTTCTAATCCCGGTGGAAATTGTTGCAAACAAGAACATGGACGCCCAGGATGCTTTTGTGTGGAGTGTGGTGGTTAGGGCTCAGTGCATTGGGGATCTTCACCCTCGTGTGCTGGACCGGAGTTAGGTAGTTATGCTGCACTTAGCCAGACCCATCATGGGAGATCAGATCACTGAGTGCAGTCCTTCATGATCTGAGATGCAAAGGCCTGCTCCAGTGATCGTTGTGTTTGCTTATTTCCAACCACTCTGGTTTTCTGCCTGCCAGAGGATACCCGTTGTAGCATCTTTTCTTCCCCAACTGTGGTCCCCTGTTACATTTGGAAGATGGCCTAGGTTTATTACAGCACTGTATGTGTTGTAATCTTGTGGTCTCTGTAGTATCAGGGAATTAGTTCCACTAACATGCACATAATTTGGGGTAATCTGCAGTTTGCCTAAATGTAAAAGACAATAGTACCTGGAGCGCATCACTGTCAGTGAGCCAGCTTCCGATGTGTTGCACCACTATCAATCTGCAGTGTGTCTGTGGCTCTGGACTTATGCCTCTGTAAGTGTAGCTTCAGTAGACAGAGTTGATATTAAGGGAAGCACTTGCTCAACGTTAAGTGCACGCTTCATTCCCACTGAAGTCCTTGCTGGTGAATAGTGAGAGACTGCTGAATTGGGGCCTGATGGTGGAATGGGGTTTCATTGAGCCATCAAGAGGGATGAGTGATGCGAAGCCAGAAAGAGAGCAAAGCAAAGGGAGCTGGTTTTGTGGCTTAGGGTAGGGTTGTCAGAGATATGGTCAGGAGAAACATTTCACCCAGCCCACAGAGGAGGCTCCAAGAGGGGCCAGGAATCTGGCAATGGGGTTACAGGGGGTAGGGCATGCCACCAAATTTTCAGCTACGGTGCCTAGCCAAGGATATGGGGCAGCAGCGAACAGGGACGAGCAATATCTGTGTTAACCCCTGCGCTGCTACTCATCTTGCTGCTGCTGGGTCCAGATCCTGTCTGGGTGCCCAGGTGAGTTTGACACAAGTGGCTTAAGGAGGTCATTTCCTCCAATGAAAAATGGAAAACGCAGCTGTGCCTTGGAGGCAGGAACCAGAGCATGTAAATCAGGTAACTTGCCTTTACTATGTCAGGTAAGCATTACCTGTATTGCTTGTGTGGGGTGGGTATAAAGCCTGCTGGGGTCCATTGCAGTCATAGTTCAAAGCACTGACTGAACAGCTACTTGGGCCTTAATATGATCTTCAGCAGAGACGACTGCCTCTATTTCCTGTTGTAGCTTCACCTCATTAAAAGTTCGGTCCTGGAATTGCCCTGCTATTAATTCCTTGTATGTTGGGTCAAATCCTGCAATCTGCATTTAGTTCTCAGGCAGGCAAAATTCGCAGGCACTTGAATGGAGGTTTTGCTTACCTAAGCCAGTCTGAAGTGCTGAGTCAGGAGTGCAGGATTTAACCTGTAGTGAATAGAAGAAATGCATGTACATCATAATAGCTCTACCCCTTTGGTCACTAGTCCGGGATGACATCCATTCTTTCGTTCTGCATGGGGACGGTCACTGTGGATCGGGTTATTTTAAAGGTCTTTATGAAAACCGCTGTTCAGCAGGAGCCTAACATGTAGGATCAATAGCATAGAGTAAGCCAGGGCTTCAGTTTCTTGGCAATTATATTTTTAATGTGTTAGGTTTTTATTCCCCCTCTAGCCTATTATTATGGGAAGAGGAAAAAAATCATTAAGCCACCAATTGGGGAAAACAACAACTTGAAGAGCGGACACATCAAGCCAGCAAGGCGCAGGAAAAGACGGAAATCCATTTTTGTGCAGAAGAAGAGGAGGTCATCGACTGCTGATTTTAACACTGCAGGGTCTGCAGAGGTACATGCTGGAGTTGGCTCTTTCACTATGTCTTAAAGCATCCTGTAGTGTATGGCATTGACTTTAAAAAAACAAATACATTTTTTAAATGAGCACCTTGATGCTTTCTTCTGTCTTGCTTCTTCCATAAACCTCCCTCTTAAGACTCTCCCTTACTGTGTTGCCAGCAAAAAATGCGACAGTGGTTAGGCATCTCTTGTGTTGAGATCACTGCCTGCCCTGTGGACTGATACAGCCTTACTGATCCCTTGTGCTTCCTTGTCTGTCTGAGGCCGCTGTTTTGGGCAGAGATGGGCTTTTTTTTTGCACAGCCCCTTGCACGGTGGGGTGTCCCAGTCCACGACTAAGGCTGCTAGGTGCTATGGCAATACACATAGCAAGAAACTGTAAATGGAGAGTGGGCATTTATAGGCTGCTCTTGAGGCAGCATGAATTTTAGTGCTCTCCTAATTAATTGTCATTTAGTTTAATATCTAAAGATACTCTAGGAGCTTTGAGACAAAGTTCCCGTGCTACACATTGTGCCATCCAAAGTCTCATTCTTTCAGAGACATAAATGTTGTCTGTGCACCAACTTTCACTGGGTTAGTTTAACTGCTCTGATGTGGCCACTCATTTTGATTTCATTTGGGCTTGAGTTAATTTAAACCTGTTTCTAACTGACTTAAGCCAGCCCAAGTAAACCTCTTAGAAGCCGAAATGAGAGCATCACCCAAAACTTTGAACAGGTTTAACTAAGTCAGTTGTAAGTCATGCTTTGTCTCAAGGCCACATGACACAGCACAAGGATAAGATTTTATGAACGTGCTTAGCTTGAGACACATGTAGCCTCTTTGAACTCAGGGGGACCATGTGTACGAGTAAAACTTAGTGCATATACAAGGTCTCATCTACACGTAAGAGTTTGGGGGCGTAACTGTGTCAAGTAGGGTGTCTCAAAGCTTTTCACACCCTACCTGACACACAGAACTACCAAGTGAATTCTCGCCCACCCCACGGCCATCTGTTTTAACTCAATTGTTCAGCCCAGATGCAGGAATACCTGGGTGAAAGCCTATGTGCTGGGTTATAGAAGAGCTCAGACAGCTGCTTGTAATGCTAATTATGTTAGGAATGCCAAAGATCATCAGCACATGTTGAAACTCTGCTGAAGCCGAGAGAAGGTAAAAACAAACCAAAACACCAAAAATGCAAGACTCATCGGTTTCATTTTTTCTAATCGGTTTCGCTTTCCAGGTCTCCTGCCCTGGTGCGGTGCTGCGGGGCTCGAGGTACGCTCGCTGCAAAGCAACATTCGTCTCAAAACAAGAGATGGTTTTAATTGATACGAAAGTGGAAAAAATTGTTTTGCTGCACAGTGTTGTAACAGAATCTAAATATGGGGCTCAAGCAACATGCCACTGTGATAAGTGCGGTGTAACTCAATTGAAGCTACCAGTGTGACTCAATATTGAACTTGATGGGTGAATAGAAGTTGATCTGATGGCTTTTAATGTGCAGAAGGAAATGTGCAGTTGTGTTAAATCCTGTGTCACAATGGTGTTTCTGTACCTGTGTCACCATAGGAAAGTGAAGAGGAGGAGCCAGATGCTATGGAAGATGAGACAGGGAGTGAAGAAACCAGCTCTGAACTACGTGATGACCAGACAGACACCTCCTCAGCCGAGGTCCCGTCAGCCAGACCAAGGAGAGCCATGACATTACGGAGCAGCACCGAGTCGGACAGGCCTCCTCCCATTGAGAGAGCGAGAAGGAGCCGGAAAACACCGTCTCTCTTATACAGCGAACAGGAGAAGTGCACTCAAGCCAAGGAAGTGAGTCTTCTAGCAAACTACTTCATTCCCATTTAACAGCAATATTTTTTTCCATTGACATGACCTTAGATGTTGAGTGCTAGCCATCTGAAGAGAGCACTATGTGCTTCACAGATGAGTAGTTTTGAGTGTAGTGCCCTTTTCTTTACAAATGCTTTGGGTCTTGCAGGAAATAAAGCAAGAGGAGGAAGAGAAACTCATTCTGGACAGCAACCCTTTGGAGTGGACAGTGACTGACGTGGTGAGGTTTATCAAACTGACAGACTGCGCTCCCCTAGCCAAGATATTTCAGGAACAGGTAGACTGCTTCACCTTGCTATTTTTTTTTTTAGTGGCGGCTGGGTATTCACATGCTTATTCACATCACAGGAGTCTGTGAAATAGAGGAAGACTTGAATCTTTCCCGTTCATTAAGGGTAAAATTCATCCTTCAGCAGGGCATCGGTGTGAGGCCCAGACACCACCATTTACATCCTATGCAAGTCCTCAACAGGAGGCTTACGTGGCACTTAGTTGGTACAGGGTCATGTACTGGTACCTCTGCACAAGGGGATATTGTTTCACCCTAATGAGATTATATTATATCTCTGGACCAGGAAACAAAAGATCTAGGTTCCCATCTGAGCTCTGTCACTGAGGGCATGCACAGACAAAATACTTATGCCACTGTAAAAGACAGCTCAATGAATGGGTAAACTACCGCGGGTTAACTTCACTTACTGCAGATTAGGAGTGGGCAGTTGAAACAAAGGTGAATTTCCTGAAAAGGTATTTAGGCACCTGCTTCCACTGTAAGCAGTGGGAGTCAGATGTTTACGTGCCTTGGAGAATCTGGCCCCTAATTCTTTTGGAGCCATGGAAAGTGTCCCCATTTCAAAAGGTGCCAAGTGTTTCTAATTAAGACAAAGCAGCATGCAGGAGCTCAGCATTTCTGGAGATCAAACAAATAGTGCCTTTCATCTCAAAGCAGCATGGGCACTTATAATTACATGTAATCAGTCATTTCTCCACTAATAACATTTACCACTATCCAGTTCAGAATGAAGGGGCATCACAAGGACATCAGTCATTAGCCAGCCGAGAACGTTGCCAGGACATGAAAGCAAAGACTCTGACTCTTACCAAAAATGTTGTGGGATCTTTAATTAGCCAAAGCCATCAATGCTTTGGCCTTGCTTATTACCTGCCATGCAGCTCCTGGTGCTCTCAGGCTACAGGTCGTTTCAAAGAGAGCACCCTCAAGTAGGATCTCCTAATCAGAGGAGCACTTAGCATGTGTATTGACTGTGTTTAGGGAGTTCTTGAGGACTTGATTATGACATTTATGATTCTCATTGACACACTTTGATTCACCTGTTTTTCCTCATTATGGTCATATCTCTCTTATTTATGTTTCAGTCTGTCTCTTTAAAGAATCGGTCTCCTAATTAACTAGTGGCACCAAGGAAGGAATATGGTGGAAACAGCCCAAAAGTCTCACCCGTGGGATGTTGGGGTCCCTGCTCCTAAGAGTCAGGCACCCACATAGTTTGCATTCAGGGTGTTCGAGAGAACTCTGTAAAGAGCTGTAGAAACATCCCACAGGTGGCTCCCATCCAAACCAAGAAGCATAAGTTGTTATTATTGCTGGAATGAATTTTCATGCTGTCCTCACAGCTATTTGTGCTGTGGACAGGCGGCGAGCGCACAAATAGCCCTGCTCTTAGCTGCTGGAGAGACTCAGGACTGAATGGGGCATGATTTGAACTGGTGTATTACTTCTTCCAGATTATGAGCCAAAGCAGTGTAGATAAAGAGGAGGATGGCCCAGTGGTGACAGCCGAGAGCAGGACTGAATTTCTAGGTTTAGCCCCTTCCCATACCTGATCTAATGCCTCTTTATGCCTCAATTCTCCCTCTGTAAAATAGTGGTAGTTGTGCTCCCCTCTCTTCTGCCTCTGTCTATGTAGAGTGTGAGCTGTCTGGAGCAGGGGCCTATGTGTCTAGCTCAGTCAAGCTTTTTGGGGGCCCCTAGCTAGGTGCTACTGAAACAAATACAAGTGCCTGGCTGTCACCCCTTACAATACTCCGGCGCTACTCAGAATGGTTGTCACCCAGTCTTAGATGCACCAAAGCCAAACCTCTTGTCCCTGCCTTTTCCTGCTCAGCCTTTCTCAACCAAGAGCAACCATGTGTTATTTGTTTCCTCCCAGGACATTGACGGCCAGGCGCTTCTGCTGCTGACCCTGCCGACGGTGCAAGAATGCATGGAGCTGAAACTCGGCCCAGCCATCAAGTTGTGCCACCAGATTGAGCGAGTAAAAGTTGCTTTCTATGCACAATATGCCAACTGACTCTGCCGCTCCTTGCATTGCCTTTTGGGCTTTTCTTACTGGTTTTCAAACGTTACAGCTCATTTGGGTTTTTCCCCACCCCGCGCTCGTAAGCCTGTGGAAGCCGAAACACTGAGAAGCTCTCTGTAAAAACAAAAAAACCAACAACAAAAAACCCCCCAAACAATTTGAATGAGTATTTCCAGATTTGTGAAGCACATTGATATATCTCTGGCATTTCTTCTTGGGAGCCTGTCCGCACATGCAAGATTGTAGTGTAGCAAGGCTGTAAGAGAGCAGAAGGTTTGTCGTCTTTTTTTTTTTTTTTTAGTGAAAGAGCAAATAAAACAAGTTTTCCTACAACCGGCAAACACATTCCATAGGGGATAACGTTCAAACATTCCCAGCTGATTATGGTGTGTCTAGGCCAATTTCTGGACATAAATGATCCCTGTCATGAACTGACACACTTCTTTCATATTGAAATGTGAGTGATCATTTTTAGTGATCCACGGTTTACTGCAGATTTGATCGTAATGATCAATGTGCTTTATTCAGGCCTGCAAAGAAAGCATTAGAGCAGTGATACTCCGTGTAATGTCTTAGCAAGCAATTGATAAAGGGGAATCCCAGCTGTGCTCTCCGCGGAGTATCAGAAAACAATTCAATGAACTTCAAGGGGTACAGCAAAAGGTAGTGCCCGGTAACGCTTCCCAAACCCGGTAGAGTTATGTACAATATTCTGATTATTTCTGTGATTGGACCTGTACAGTTCTTCATTCTTGTAATGGAACATGCATGAAATATTTTATACTAAAGCCCATTCAGTTATCTCCCAGTAACATTAAAGGTCTAATGGTGGACGCCTACACAACAGGGAATTCAGGTGGAAGGATGAGACTTTGGAGTAAGTTCTGATCTAGGCTGAACCTGGTTAAATCCATTGAGGGCAACTGAATCTCCTGGGTTGACTTTGGTGTAAAAAAGATCAGAAAATGTTCCACGAAGGATCTGCATTGTTTTATACCAGCTGAGGATTTAGCCTAGCACACCCTTTTGTTCCTGAGCATACAAAGAGCCAGATTCACCAGATATCCTGTGCCACTGTCCCTGGTTAAGCTGGATTTGCACTGTTTTGTGTCAATGGAGACATGCGAAGCATCTGAAAGGCACCAGGTAACCTGGCCCAGAGCATCCATGTGGCCGTGTTAAAGAGCTGTGTGAAATGCATGGACTTTGGCTCAGCATGGCTCGTGATAGGAATCAAAACAAAGCCCATTGAAGTCAATGGTGTTATACCCTCCTAATAACTCTACCCCGAGCAAGAACAGAAGCTGAGCTTTATTTTGAAGATGAGTTGCAAGTGGAGATCCCCGAAAAGGCAAACTCGGTGGTTGTGGCTAAGTTTTTTTTCCTAGCTTCAGAGGAAATCACGGACTTTCTTTTTTTGTTTTTGCATGGTTTCCCCTGAAACTATAAATAGACCTGTGATCTGCAGCTTCGGTGAACTCGGGATTTTGGATTTGTTACAGAAATCTAGCGTAGCCTTGTCAGGATGCCAGGTCAGAGTCGACAGGGACCCCTTCTAATGTGAGACGTGGTTTTTTTACCCTGATGTCTTTGCTTTTGCCCAGTTAGCGCCGAGCTTGAATGTTACTTCAACAGAATCTGTTGGTTTCAATGCCTTTTTCTTACTCCTGCTTTTTAATAAGCCGTTTTGCTTGTGTTCACTCTTTCGTTGCCCACTGACTTGGATCTGATAATCCTGCAGACTAGATGTGCTCAGCTAAACAACTGGGCATTCGCAGATTAGAGCTGGTTGGTTCTGCCATATCCATTTTCTTCTTGACGACTCTGTTAATTGTGTGGATTATTGGTGCTGTATAATGCTTCTGAAATACCCTTTACAGACTCTGGTGGACCAGAATTCACTTCAGAGAATACTTTATGCAAGGATCGATTCAGGGGACCGTAAAGCTTTGCAAGGCATCTTTATAATGTGCCGCTATAACAACAGGTTGCCTGGTTGAGTCTACTCCCAACGAATTGCCTTCTTCTGACATTTGAATACAGATTCAATATGAGTTGCTGCAGGTTAGACCAGGTCCCACAATACGTCTGTTGGCTTCAGTAAAACTCTTATACTTCCTTTGTTCACAAGATCTTAGTAGCAAGATTTAAATGATCTTTATTTAAAGGAAGGGAATAAAGCGGCTGCTCCTGTGCTGAGGTTTTTGTTTCACCAGAAAACAAATGATTAAGGGTTAAGTTGTCCTTTGAGACAGCGGGCAGTGGGTTTTGTATTGGGAATCCTATGGGGTGTGTAACAGCATGCTAAATCACTGCAGTTGTGCTGATGATGTTTGGCGAACCCTTCAAGATGCCAGTGAGTTTAAATGCCCGCCTTCCCTTTTAAAATTTCCCCCAGAAGAGCTCAGCTTGTCTTCTCTAGTCCAGCGGACATCAGGGAGCCTGTTACTCTCCCTGGCAACTTCCACCCAGTCACTGTCCTAAATTAAAGCAGCTCATGGGTTGCTCATATATAGACACATCTCCGAGACACTGTATGATCTTAAAGAAACGCTTGAATCGGCCCAGACACTGGGGCCTGGTAAGGGAAATGGAAAAGGTGCTGAGCATGTCTGCCTGGCTCCGAGGTGGCTGTGCCCTGACACGGGTTCAGGTCTCTGCAGGGCAGATCCGTCTGCCTTCTGCTCCTCCGATGCTCGCCGGATAATCTGGCCCAGAGGTCATCAAAGCAGTTGAATGCATTTGAGGGTCCTGTTCCTTTCTCAACATGGGTACTCATTTTGGTGCCACTGAAATACTTGTGGAAGACTGAACCGGAGTGCACGTGGCTGTCTGCTTTATATTCGGGGCCATCTCCATGCTCAGTTTTGACGTAGCAAAGGGGGCATACAGCTTTGGGCAGTGATATGCAACCTCATGGAAATAACAAGCGGAGCTCTTACTGATTGTTTTTTCCTTCTATTAACAAGAATCAGAAAGGTTAATCATGTTTAAAACCACAGCTAGCAAAAAAAAAAAAACTGCTTTGACTAGCTTATGCAGATTATAAAGCTCTCCAGGCTTTTGCTCCCCCCTCCCTCTGTTTTTTTTTTTTTCTTTCTTTCTTTTTAAATATCCCTTCATTTATTTTTCTCTGTTCCTTTTGGAGAGCTGTGACCTCAAGTCTTTATTCTAAAATTACCTTGAATTGGCCTCAGTGGCAAATGCTTTATTATAGTGACACCTAAAATAGCGAGTGGGAAGGGATCAAAGAGATGCAGTCTGCTGTTCTAATTGCCTTCCAGAGAAGTAGCGCTGAATCTCCTACCCAATTTTTTTTATGTAAAAGAAAACTGTATGGCAGGCAGTTAAATTGAACAATGTGCTCACATTGTCACTTAAAGATTCAAGCCGAGATCAGAACAAACTGAACGCTCCTTCCGGCGCATAATCCCAGATCCAGAAAATTAACAAGATTTTAGAATAATGCATTTCTAAGGAGACATTTGAAACACACAACTTATTAGGGTGAAATGCTGATATACTTTGCTACGTAAAAAAAATAAATAAATAATCGGGGGGGGGGAAAGAAGCATTTTTATCTGATGTGTATGGAGTCAAATTCAGAGCTGGGATAATAAGGAACAGACTCCCATCATATTCAGGCAGCTGCATCTTGTTACATCACTTTTGGATTTGGTCCTGAGAGTAGGGGCAAGATAAATGACGGTGCATTTTCTTTCTCTCCAGGATGAAAAGGTTCAGGGTATGAAATTATTGTGGCCAAAGCTAGAACCGTTGTTGCCTACCAGCAAGGCTTTTCCTTCTGGCCAAGGAACAGGATGGTCATCTCTCTGCCGCAGTCCTTGAGGCTGACCCAGAGCTGGGATGGGCACCCCAGGGTGCTTGCTCGTCCTGCTGCTGAATCAGTGCATTCAAGTCAGCACTGTGCTTGGCCCATTCAGGTAGACTAACAGCAGCTCTGCCCCATTTTGGTGTCTCCTTGGAGGAATCCCGCTTCTGAGATGTAGGCCTGGAGCTCTATTTTGTGGAGTTTTACTAAGCTATTTAAAATGCTCTGCACCAGGCATGTCCGTGGTCCTGTGCCGCTAAGCACCTACCTCCTTCTGCCAACTTAGATCAACTATTAGAACCGGGAGGAGAAGTTTCCATCCCCTCGGGGTAAATTCAGCTCCTGTTTCCCTCCACTATTGACCGGGTGAGAACCTGTCGTCCTCCTCTCCTATACACTTTCCTGCTCCAGCATGAGATTTCTTCTTCTTGATCTCTCCATATTCCAGGCATTTCCCACATGCTCCCCACCATCCATCACCTGGGCACCTACTCTTCACCATTCAGCTCGTTAGCCCTAAGCAAAAACTCTGGCCACCGTCACCTCTGATGGGCATCATGGCTTTCAAGCACTGATGTCTGGTTCCTCTGACATATGGCTTCCAGAAGCTGAATTTGAGCTTTATTGGACAGGTACTGGTGCCTGAAGGACTCCCCCAGCAAGCTGCAAGCTACCTCCCAAGGGTGCTGAATGCTCTCTGAAATCAATGGAAATGGGTGGCATTCAGTCCCTCTAGTGAGGATCATTCCAGGACCGGGCTCTCGTTGAGATGGTGTCGGACATGCCGTGATACTGTCTGCAGCGTACTGTCAAGACACTGATGTGCAAAGATATTTAGGATTAACAAACGCCGAAGCAAGTACAGCTGGGGCAGAGAGGCACTGAACTCGCATGACATCTGTCTCGTTGCAATTTGCATTTATTCTGAAACGACTTTGGATCCGAAAGTCAGCAAACCTGACACAAGCTCTTTCAAAGCCAGCTGGCCCCGTCAGTCAGTATTTACTCACTGAAAAAAGCAAGGCTTGTTGTTTTCTGAGCCTTTTCATTGACTTCAGCAGGAGCTCCAGGTGTATAGCACTTCGGTTAAAAAAAAAAAAATAAAGTCAGGTCACTTACCATTATAATTTCCTGGAGTTCAGAAATATCAGGACATTTCAAATGTTCTTTGTTTCTCAAGGCAGCGAGCTCGGAAAAAACTGTGGAGTGTGTTTTTCTTTGCAGATAAAACTCAAGTGCTGGAGGAAAAGGAAACGCACACTAGTACTGAGCACCATAAAAGCCAGCTTTATTATGTGTGGGTTAAAGTAGTCTCAAGATCTCCATTTTAGGGCTGAGATGCTTTGCTGCTTAGTGCAAAGCTGGTCTCATACATCTAATCCCCCAAGCCAAGAAATATGCTTTCCGTGATCAGCAAAATGCCTTAAGCACTAGGATTTTATATGATTTTTTTTTTTAATATATAGCAATGGATTTTTTAAAATTCATATTCACCCTTTTTTTTCCATGCCATTCAGCAAAGTAGCTGCCCTACTAGAAAAGGAGCCTTTGTTATTCACAAAGGACTTGGTTCAAAGCCAGATGAAATCAGTGGAAAGAATGGGCTTTGGAAACAGGTGAATTTCTTCTGTCATTGAGAAGATATTAATTAACGCAAGGATTAAAGACTGGATTCTCAGCATTGGCCTTTGCAGTCTTGCAGTCCTTAAATTTCACCTTTCATGCAGGAGAAGTGTTTTTGGGTTTTGTAGGGATTTAGTGCCATTCAGCAGAGCACACACTGCAGGAGAAGCAAAATGTTACCATTGTACCGCTGCATAAGAAAGCCTCCCGTGGTTTATCCTTTACACAATTAATTCCCATCTTGCATTTAAAATGTCAGTAACATCTCACTCCACAGAGACGAAATTCCTAAAACTGTAGCCCATGGTTCAGCATGCTCCTCTCATGCTTTTATATACCCCTTGTTGTGCTACTTTCCAGCCCACTCCTTTAACGGAGCCATACGTTGACTTGTTACTTCCTCCTGGACAGGTGCTCCATATATGCATATAGGCCTCCTGTGGTGATGCTGTACCATGTCCCAGTAAAGTCAGTGGGGGGGACAAGGCACGTAAGGAATATGCAACCACACTTTTGATATTTCACAGCTAAATCCAGAAATCAGTAGGTCACATTGGGTCCTCCCTGAGCCCAAGCTGCCACTGAAGTCAGCGGGAGCTTTGCTTGAACAGCATCCCAATCCATAGCAACCTGTTCTGCTTCTGCACATAGGTCAAATCTGCCTCCGTCGTACCACCCCCCGAGGCTGCTCTACATGCGTATGGTGGGGAAGTTAGCAGAGTATCTGGGGGGAAGCTAGTAGTGCAGCTGTCCCCACCTCCGCCCAGTTACTTCTGCATTGGTGTCCAAGCGGAAAGCTAGTGGCGCTTCTGCTGAGTGGTTATCTGTTACAGACAGAGCCACAGATTCATGTTTCCACTTATCCCTCCATGACCCTCAAGGCTATATATGGAAGGCTGGAGGAAGACTTCAGGGAAGAGGAAGAAAAAGGGTTGAGGTAGAGCTGGCACTGGGTTGATGAGGTGTTTTAATTGCTGTCAAATCCCGAGAGCTCTGACAGGTGCCAGATGAAAGGATGAAGCAGACCTCTGCTCAGGGTTAGGCCCCCTGTCCATGGTTTCCAGATGCAGGCAGGTCCAAGTTTTCTCCACGGCAGCAGAGACTTGCTCCAATGGCAGCACATCTGGAGGTCCTCCAGATGGATGGGAGTAGGGGCTGCGGATGATTGTGTTCTTCCATCCATGGAAGCGAGGTCCCAATTCCTGTGGATCCCCTGGCTTGGAGGGGCCAGGCCAACCCTCCCCTTCGCACCCTCTTGGCCTAAAGGGATGCTGCCTAGGGAATGCCAGGAGAGGGTTTTCAGGCCTCCGATGGGATAGCATGATCTGGCTCAGAGCAAGGGTTTCTAGATCAGCAAAATGCATACACATAGGTTTTGAAACCTGAGTAGGTGCCCAACCCCCACTGAAATTGGGCCCCGAGGAGTCAATCCAATTGCTGTTTAAGTCAATAGCAAGAGTCCCGTTAACTTAGACATTGAATGAGGCCCGTAAGAATGCACTTAAAGCAACTGAGTACTCCCAAGGAAACCAGTGGGAGGATGTGCATGTCTTTAATGTTAGGAATATTTTTGTTGGGTCAGCTCAAAACGTGAACTAGATCTTGGAATATTTTCCCACTTCTGCATAGATCTACTGCTAGAAAAATGATTGTGCGGATGGTTGAGAACTGTCCCTAGTGAGACTGTGAGCAGGATTACTAATCCTCCCAAGCATTGGACTGGATCTCTGGTAAGACAATTGGA